TCCCCAGTAGGGGGTGTGCAGGAGGCAGCTGATCGATGACTCTCATCGATGTTTCTGGCTCTCTATTCTCTCTCCCTCTCTGTACAAAATCAATAAAAGACATATTTTAAAAAAATTTTGACAGCAATAAAATGTTTTCCATGGTTCCAGTGTCACATGTTAGACACAAATTTTGACTGGTAATTGTCGTTCTATTATGTAAAAGGATGTTTAGTGGAGATGATGTAGAGTTCAAAGTTTTTCACTTCTTTGAGTAGTGTTATTAAAAGATCTCTAAACTTAGAACAAGTAATGGCATTTCCTCCTCCTCATTTTCCCCCTGTAGTCCAGCTGTAACTATAATTTATCTTCACTGTTATTGCAGGTATGTCTCCAGTAATTAAGAGACAATGAAGAGTGGTTGGGGCCAGGTGTGCACCTCTCAATATACAGGTAGCATTTCCCCTGAACTTGTTACCATTTTGAACTCTGGTAAGATAGCATGCCTCAAGTTGACTTTTGACAATGAAGCTTGCCTTTGACTAGAAAGTAGAACTGAGCTTATCTCATTACCTTGCCTTAGAAGCATAAGCAGAAGCAGCCATACTCAACCAGATCTCAGGATTTCATCAGATGCATTCCTGATGGTTTGAAGATTTGCTCATTGACTTTCAGGTTAGTCATTCCTTTTCTCTTTGGGAGAATTACTTTATTTTTGCTAAACTAAAAATACTTGGGCACAAAGCTACTTTCATAACTATTTGTTTAGCTTGATAAAGAAAGGTTTCAACTTGCAGGAGTGGGGAATGTCTGGCCCACAGGCCCTTTAAGGTCCTCAAAATCATTTGGTCTGGCCCTGCCAATGTATTAGGGGTGAGTTAATTAATGTTTGACCAAATATAGGAAACTAATTTTTAAGTTAATAGTTTTATATGTTCCTCAAATGATGTTATAAATATCTAATGACCATTGGCAGAAAAAAGGTTCCCCACCCGTGGTTTAGAATAACTGTTAATTGACCAGAGCAGCTGTGCTATTTGGTTTCCTTTTTAAAAATGGAGTCATATAATTTTTCAGTGACATTTGGAGACACAACCAAATATAAATAAACCTGTCTACAAAAATATTGTTTGTGCATAGAACAGTTTTATATTGTCAGTTTTGAGTGTGAAGGATGGGAGATCCCAATAATTTTTAAAATATATATATTTTATTGATTTTTTACAGAGAGGAAGGGAGAGAGATAAAGAGCCAGAAACGTCGATGAGAGAGAAACATCGACCAGCCGCCTCCTGCACACACAGACCCCCCCCACCCCACCCCCTGGGATGTGTCCGCAACCAATGTACATGCCCTTGACCGGAATCGAACCTGGGACCTTTTAGTCCACAGATCGACGCTCTACCACTGAGCCAAACCGGTTTCGGCAAGAGATCACAATAATTTGAAACTTATTTGAGACCAATTATATATTTGGTTGGTTCACCTTTTAGGGTAGGGGTTGGGGGTTAATCCAGAACTCCTGGTAAAAGTACATATGTAAAAATTATGTTTTCAGCAAAACGTTCATAGTGTTGTTAGTTTCAATAGCATGTGATCACTTTGGACATTTTTATTTCCATAATGTTCTTACATAATGAGAGATTTTCCTTGATATTTCTTAAATCTCTGATTCACCTAGAATATGTTTTTGCCATTCTACAAATGTAAAAAGCCTGAGGTATAAGAGGTTACATTAAGTTCATGAGTTGTTGTTGTCTTTAGTGTGTTATACCAGTCATCCTAGGAAAGAGAATTATAATTTAAAGGAATGGCACTATTGTAAGTATTCATTATGTTATTTCTTGTGGTTTTAATTTACACTTGTATGAGCAGTTAAAATAGGCTGATTCTAGAAATTCTAACCAAATGAATAGGCATCTGTCCATATATACTCACATTCAATAAGTTCCAGAATTTAAAATAAGTATTAATAATAACCTGAGGCTTTTGCAAAAAGTGTAATGGTGGCTATCTTTATTTGTTTTTCTAGAGCAGTAGCTGCCTTACATATACCATATATTTTGTTTGTTTGTTTTTAAGCTACATGAGTACAAAAGTCAAAAACAGTTACTATTTAACAAATGTAGAAACTAAAAGCTTTAGAGTAAGACTTGTTAATACAAGAGTAAACTACATTCAGTATTAGGGACATTTAGATATTGAAATTAAAACGGGGGAAGAAAAGTTCCTATGAGTAAGAGAGCTTACCACTGAAGTTTTCTTCACTTTTAAATACAAAAGATACTTTCATAAATATGTCAATTAAATTTTGCTCTCACTATACTTTAGCTCCAGGATTGATTTTAATACACCATCATTGGGGTGATATCAATAAATGTACCACAAAGCAAAGTTATCTAAAGAATCTGTCTATTCACATTTTCCTTGTGCATAGAATGATTCAAAAATATCCCTACAGAATCTATCAATTTGAGTTTGTGGAACAGTACCAAAATGAACCAGAAGTACTAAGTTCTTTTTATAGATGAAAAAAAGTTAAGCTATGCATTTCTTACCAAGTATCATAGTTGGAATATGAATGACCTTCAATGAGTTGACTCACTAAAAAAATACTAAGGAATATATTTAGTACTTCACATGATTTCTGTATTTAACCATCTAAGTAGGTGTCAGACATCTTGAAATATTTACGTGGCAAATCTCTCAAAACTATAGTTAAACAGCTCTGTAAACCCCTCACGAAGGGGAAAGAGTTAAAAGTTTTACTAGACATAGTCTCTTGTTTTTAGCCTGTGAATTGTAGTAGTTTCTAAAAGCAATCAAGATTCCTAAGAATACCACTTTCATGCCTCCAGATAGTTCTTCCTCCTCTGTCAGCTTCCTTGGATGCTCACCCCTCAGAAGGTATTGAATTTTATTAATAGTCCAGGATTCGGGGAAAGCCTTATATGTCCAAACCAAACATGAGTTTATCTAAGTGTCACTTATAAGAATATATACACAATCCTCCCTCAGCCACCAAAAAAAGAAATGTTGATTATATTTAGAAAAGGTTTTTTATTTAATGCAGTGAAGATATAGGCAACATTGCCATTGAACTAAACATCTGAAATTTAATAAAATGAAACAACAATTAATCATCCATGAATAGTTACTATCCACTAGGTACATCTGGGGTCGTAGAATATCAGGCTTATAGACATTTGAGCAGACACTGTCAGCTTGAAATGTAAACCTCACACAAGATAAAATCAAAGATAATTTCAAACAAATTATCCTATCAACAAACTTTCTGTAGTAACATCAACTTCATGGAATATTGCAACAGAGTGATGGTATGTGAATATAAGCATGTTGTTACAAACATGATGCACTAAATGGAGCTTGAGGTCAAAGCCTTTCTATAGAAAGGGATTTAATTGACAATCTTTCAACCATAGTGTATAAACAGACCAAAATAGTTCTATCATAAGAAATAGTATTTAACAACATAGCTTTAAAATAAAAATACTGTAAAAAATCAGCTTTGATGAGATATAATTTATTGTTAAAGAATTTAGAGAGATATGTTTCTTGCTTCAGTCTTTTCTACATTTTTCTAATATAATCCCCATCTTCACTCTTTCTCAGTCTATTAATAAAGTAGTGCAAAACATTCTGTAGCAATTTTAGGCAAGATTAATCCCCTACCAAGTCAGAGGGGAAGTAGTAAGACATTCTCACCAAATTATTTCTCTTTCCAGAGGTACGCTTACTTGAAGTTAGATAGAAAAACTACCACAAGAGTCTTGGGAATGCAATTTTTAAATATAGATTCTATAGTAAGTAGTGAAATCTTTTTAAAGGCAAACTCCCCCTCCCCATAAGCAGTTTATTTTACAAAATAGATTTTCATGCATTCATATTTTCAAGAATGATTATTTTTTTTCCTATAAATTAATGTAATGAAACACTGGCATATCATTTAGCACACTGCATTCTCCTCTACATTACAATTCGCACTAATAACAAAAATCATAGTATGCATTAAAGATTTCAGTAATCTAATGAGAAAGCACATAACATTTTTTCTGTGAGAACATGTGAGTATTAAATATTTTTAGATATTCGGGGGTATAATCTGACACCAAAAGCAGTATGGATTTAGTTTGCTAGTATGTTTACTGAAATTTTGCTAATTTTTTAACTTGATACAAATTAAAGTACTGGTAGGTATAAAAACTCAGATAGGCATTCATTTATAAACCTGGCAGTATTTATGTATAATCCTGTAGAGATTTTAAGGTTTTAGATGGAATGATAGAAGGAAAGTTTTCTTTGTAGGATTTGAGAGTATAGAAGATTCTTTTGAGGGGTTTATATACGTACTTCATTCATTAGCTAAAGTCAACCTAATCATAGCTAAATACTTTGCTCAGGAATAAACGTCAGGATCTGAAATCAGAATTTATGTGAAATTGAATGCAACTGTTCCATTATTCACGTCTTGGGACTCCCTTCTCCCTTTCAAATAGTGTAAAACATAGAAAACTGTAATGTACTTTTCAGATAAAAAATAGTCACATGAAGAAAACTTTAACATGTATGTAAAAGATTTAATCAGGCAAAACAAAGCATTTAATCTAATCTAGTTCTTCTACTTGTAATTAGAGAAGTGTGTATCTCCCAGTGTTACTATTCTTACATTTTGTTATTCCAGTGTGTTATATTATTAACCATCACTAACAAGGCTTTCATTACAGCAGTAAGTAAACTTTTTTATCAAATTGATTCTGTACAATGGAAGTATATGTTCAAAGACATATGCCCTTATACACTATTTACAAATTCTCACGATCATTTTTTTAAGAGGTAAAATAAATAAAAAGCAGAAAGAAAGGAAATGCTGCTGAGGCTTGAAGGCTTTTTTATCTTCCCAAACAGATGCTGGTCTTCTCAGTGCTGGGAGCTAGCTAGCCAAGATTGTTTTTCTTCCTTTTACATGGGCTGTGAGAGGGATCTGGTTTCAGTTCTTGGTATTGCACCTGTTTAAACAGAGTTCAGAGAAAGACTGGTCAGGTGGCCACTTTCTGGCAAAGGAAGGAAAGACTGGAGGGAAAAAGTGCTCACTCTGGAAGCCGTATGAGAGATGCAGCTGGGATACAGAAAACAATAGAGTGATACAGCAGGAGTCTGAGGGAAATCCTGCCAGAAGCTACATGAGAGCCCCAACGTGACCTCTGGTAACAGACTTGGGTTTTCACTGTCCGTAAGACATAACATTAAAAGCAAAATCTCATCTATTCTGAAGGGATGGATGATGGTTCTTTACAGATGATTGTTTAATATAGGCTTAATATCCAGCTCACTCTCATGTCTGACACTAAATAAAAACTCAACTGGAACAAAGGAAAAAAGTATGACTAACACAGTTTTAAGATTTTGATAAAAACATTTCTCATTTTACTCTGAAAATAGTTTATTAAGGGGTGTTGATTAATGGGCATTAACCAGAAAGAATTTTAAAGCATTGAGATATGCTCCAGTCTTCAAAACGCCTTCTCCCCCACTCACTGACTTTAAATATGCATCTTCAAAATTCATTCCATTTGTGCAGATTGTGCAAAGAAGAGTTTTTCTCCCAAATGTCCACTGGCACACTTTGCTTTCATCATCTAATATTCCTGTTTCCTCCCTTCAGGTAACGGTGACTTCCCTTCAGTCTCCAGCTGAACCTTCCCTGTCTCTGAAGGCTCTGGTAGGTCCTTGATGCAACCCTCCCATTCTCCTCTGAGTTCTGCTAGGTGAGCACCCCAAGTAGGCTAAATTTCTCAACAGCATGATCAGCTACAGGCTTTATTAACTTTACCTGTCTCTTTATATCCTTTTAATTTCAAAGGTTTTAAAGTTAAAAACTAATGCTACCCTACATTAAACTAGTAGTAATAATAGTGAACTCTACATACCATTTGTACATCTGAAGGGACTCTGGAAAGGAAGTCAAGCAGTTCGTTGTTGTCAATTGCATAGGGACACCGAAGCTTTTTTGTAAATTTATTGATGCCTAAAAAAGTGATAGATTATTGAAATCTCCATAGTTTGTTATAGAAAACACATTTCTGGCAAATGTATTAAAATGATTCGAAGATCTAGATTAAGCTGCCCTTTAGCCTTGAATAAACCAATAAATCCAGCTGTGTCTCTTCCTTCTTTAAACCCTACCTCTCTCTTTCCCAACCCAGTGGCTGCTGTCTTTCTCTTTGTATTGTAGTGACTTCTTTTGTAGAAAGAAAAAAAAAGGCACTTGGCAAGAATAGTCAGTGACCTTATTTACTTCTCTTCTCCCCTCCCCTCAGTGTTACTATACTTCAGTGTCCCATCTATGATGAAAATTTACTTCCTGCATTTTGATTGGGATTGTTTTTAAGGCAAGAAGTCTCATTTATTGATTTTCTCTTTTTCAAAAGATAAAATGTGTGTGTGTGTTGCAGAGGGGTGGGTGGGGAACGGTTGGGAAAGGTGTCACTGTTATGCAGGATAAATGTGTAGAAGACCTTGATTTTATTTCAAAGTTACTTTAAATGGAAAAGGATTTGTCACCAGCTTAAAAACAACAGCAGCTTTGAAGATGGTGGTATAAAAGGATCCTGAACTCCGATAAACACACCAGATCTACAGTTGCTATGGAAAAACTTTCTCTGAAAACTGGCTGAGTGAATATTACACATTGGACGAACAAGAAAAGGCCACGTGGAAACAGGTAGGAGAGTCTGCGGCACAATGTCACCATAAACCCCACCTCCGGTGCAGCACCTCGGTCTGGAGAGAATTCCAATCCAGAGCTTCACCCTGAGGAGCTTAGGATTTGAAACCCAGATCAGACATCCCCAATTGTTAAGACTTAATACGTGAGAGAGAAGCCCCCAAACTAATTAGCTTTTTTTTCTTCCAATTTTACTGAGAAATAATTGACATACTTGACTATATAGGTTTAAGGTGTATAGCATATGAAATGATTATCACAGTAGGCTTACTTAACATCTATCTTAGGGCTACAAAACAAAGAAAGTTTCTTGCTTTGAGAACTTAGTATCTGTTCTCTTAACAACTTTCCTTTATATAATACAGCAGTGTTACTATATATAGGAAGTATATACAGCATAATACTCCCTAGGTCCATTCATGTTGACTCAAACAGCAAGATTACATTCCTGTTTATGGCTGATTAATATTCCATTATATAAATGTGTACCAATAATTTATTGATGGACCCCTAGGTTGTTTTCATGTCTTGACTATTATAAATGCTAAAATGAACATATATGTTTTTTCAAATTAGCATTTTGGATTTCTTTAGATAAATACCCAGAAGTGGAATAGCTGGATTATATGGTATCTCTAATTTAATTTTTTGGAGAACTTCCATATTGTTTTCTGTAATGCCTATACCAATTTACAGTCTCACCAATAGTGCACAAAAGTTCCATTTCTCCACATCCACATCAGTATTTGTTATTTCTTGTCCTGTTGACAATAGCTGTTATTACTGGTGTAAGGTATTATCTCATTGTGATGCTTTGTGTGTGTGTCTTCACTGAAGGATGTTTTTATTGATGTTGGGAGATTAAAAAAAAAAAAAAACATTGATGGATTGCTTTAGTATGTGCCTGGATCTGGGAGAACACCCACAACAATTTCTGGTATATGAGATGACTCCAACCAACTGAGCCATTTGTATATCTTCTTTGAGCTAGGACCTGAATAGAATTTTTTCCAAAGAAGACATACAGATGGCCAACAGGAATCTGATCAGGGAAATACAAATCAAAACCAAAATGACAAACTTATTTTTTGTGTGTGTGGTTTTTTTTTAAGTATTGGCAAGAATGTGGAGAAAAGAAAACCATTGTACACTCTTGGTGGGATTGTAAATTGGTGCAACCACTACAGAAAACAGTATGAAGGTTCCTCAACAAATTAAAAATAGAACTACAGTATCATCAGACAATTCCACTTTTGAGTATTTAATTGAATAAAACACTAACTCAAAAATATATATGCACTGCATGTTCATTTAGCCTTATTTACAATAGCCAAAATAATGGAAACAACCAAAGTGTTAACCAATGAATGAATAAAGAAAATGTGATATATAATGGAATGTTATTCTACAATAAAAACAGAACGAAATCTTGCCATTTCCAAGTACATGGATGGACCTTGAGGGCATTATATTAAGTGAAATAAGTCAGAGAAAAATAAAAACTGTATGATTTCACACATGGAATCTAAAACAAAAATGAGCTCATAGATCCAGAGAACAGATTGGTGGTTACTAGAAGAGGGGATTGGATAGTGAGCTAAAGGTACAAAATTCCAGTTATAAATAAGTCATGGGGATTTGATGAATACCACGGTGACTATTGTTAATAATGTTGTAATTGCATTTTTGAAAGTTGCTAAAAGTACATTTTAAAAGTTCTCATCACAAGAAAAAAATGTTTCTATCTGGCATTGGGATTTTTAGAAATCAGTTTTTCTTTTAAATTACAAGAAGTGTACATTAAATTCTTGCAAAAGATGCTGCCATGATTGACTCATTTGGATCACAGTAGCCAAGAATCATTAGAGATAAACAACATCTACCTATGCTAAGTTACTCATTAGTTAATCCTCTGTACTACCTGGAGAATTGGTGTAGATAAAGGGTCAATGCAGGTGAAATGTCAAAATAATGTATAAAACTTAGAAGTATCTATTCTACATATTCTGTGTTATAATGTAGAATTTCAATGAAACAAGTCTATTCTTTTAAATTTATACTAGAGGCACAGTTCATGAATTTGTGCACCAGTGGGGTCCCTCAGCCTGGCCTGCGCAGGATCTGTCTGAAACGGACATCCCCCAAGGGGTCCCAGATTGCAAGAGGGCGAAGGCCAGGCCTAGGGACCCTAGCAGTGCATGATCAGGGCTGGGGAAGGACCATGGTAGGGTTCCAGGGTGTGTCCGGCCCATCTCACTCAGTCCTAATCAGCCGGACCCCAGCAGCAAGTTAACCTACTGGTTGGAGCGTCTGCCCCTGGTGATCCATGCAGGTCATAGCAAGCAGTTGAATGGCCTTAGCATATTATATTACACTTTGACTGGTTGAACAGATAACCAGACACTTAGCATATTAGGCTTTTATTATATAGGATTGCACTTAAATTACCAAACATAGGCACATTGAAATATATACCAGTAAACAACTGTATATGAAATCAGTAGTCTGGTGAAACCTGAGCCATAAACTAGAACATTATGGCTCTTCTTGAGGGTATGCAGCAGAGTAATTTTCTTCCTATGTCCCATAGGCCCCTCCGAAATTTCTGGTTAATACTTCAGCAATCACTTACCACTAAAGGAATACTGTTTTTGTTTTATTTCATTGAATGAAACAAGAGGCTCAAACACATTCTCTAAAAATTACGTTTAAGACAGCTAGCCAGTGGCTCCCAAGCCAGACATCTGCCATAGGCTCCAGCTTCCAGGAGCCTGGGAAACTTTGGCAAACAAAACCAGATTGACCACCTATCAAGCCTAGATGGCAGGAGTGGCCCTCAGTTGGTTAGAGGTAATAACTGCCAAATGCTCTACTCTAAGAGCATCTGTTTTAAATATCAGAGAAAGGAATGCAAGATGAGGGCTGGAACATACACTAGGGAAAAAGAACTTGGTGGAAAATGCCTTTTCCCCAGCATAGTGAAAGTACTGTCTTAGGTGAAACTGTTTCTTTAAACTATAGAAATTAAGAAAAATAAGAGGGGCCTATGGGACATACGAAGAGTTTGTCAGATATAGGGGGGAGGGAGAATGCTGAAACTTGCCGAAGCCGGTTTGGCTCAGTGGTAGAGTGTCGGTCTGTGGACTGAAGGGTCACAGGTTCAATTCCGGTCAAGGGCATGTACATCGGTTGCGGGCACATCTCCAGTGGGGGGTGTGCAGGAGGCAGCTGGTCGATGTTTCTCTCTAATTGACGTTTGTAGCTCTTATCTCTCTCCCTTCCTCTCTGTACAAAGTCACTAAAATATATATTTTTTAAAAAATGCTGAAACTTGGTACACGAGAACTATTAGCATGTGGCAAAACTGTATTAAAAATTAGGACCAAAAAATATTTTTAAAGGGGGTTTTTGCAGAAGCATTCTTATTTAGTACACACAAAGCAGATTTCTTATTCCTAAGCTGCCTATCAATGATGGACCCTTTTCTGTATCCTACAGGTGACCTCTTTAACAGCTGGCCTTATATGGTACCATGTTTACAGAAACTTCCACAAGACAAAGCACCATAGCTCAAAAGCATATTGTCCTGAATGCACCATATGGCTCGAAACACCTCTGTTTACGTATAAGTGGTGAAAATAAATCAGAGTGATATCTAGACCGAACTACTCTTTGATGTATGAAGAATCTTCACAGCTACCTGTTTATGGTATGATGGAGCCTATGGTGCCAGATAAGAAAAATGCATTTTGCAGGTAAACTTAAATCGTTATACTGTTGTGATTTTTAACTGACCTGTCTCTTTTCATCATGGAGTAGCTTCATGACCATAAATATACGGAACTACTGACAGTATAATTCATCCCTTAAAAATAGTTTGTTCTTAGCAGTTAAGACAAAAAAAGGCTTTACTTACCCCAGACAAGGACAATGTATCTCAGTGGAATGAAGTACAGGACGACTGTGAACACACAGAGGGCGACGATGGCCAGCCAGCTTAGGAATGGGACCGTCCAGTTGAAAGTACTGCATGAGAGGTTAACATTAGCAATCTAGCGTTTCTTATCAGGAGGGGAGGAGGCCTCAAAAGGTATTTAAACGAAATAAGAAATTGTACATGGGGATAAATGTCAGTGTTTTTTGTTCTAATTTCCTGGTGATGTGTGTTATATTCACTTGGAGTAGGGTTTGTCCTGGGCAGTTTTTGATCCAATAAAGGATGATTATTAAGAGATTTTCTTCCAGTACTGTGTCTCAGCATAACTTATGAGTGGTTCCTTAGTTTTGTAGCATATGGCTTGCTTATTGTCTTCCTAAATCAAATGTTTACTAGTTAGTTAGTAAAAAAAAAAAAAAAAAAAAAAAAAAAATGAAGTAAAAGAACCAAAGTTGAATCAATCTGATTGTCTTGTTCTCAATTGCCTTTAGGGCCTGGGTTTTTGGACTTGATCATTTTCCTCCCATGGCCAGAGTGAGCGACCTGTAAACTGCCAGGTAAAGAATCCTGTCTTCCCTCCCTTGCTCTTGCTGCTTGTGGAGAGAACAGAAGGCTGAGGGTCTGCCTGCTATCCTGGGGCTCAGCTCAGAGCCATCCATCACACTGCTCCTTGTACAAGGGCAACTGGCTCTTCTCTCAGAAAACCCTTCTTCTGGGCAGCTTCCCTGAAAGGCTCCCTGTGTTCGTTCTTTCTCCTCTTGGAAGAGTAAGTATCCAAGCATCCTTACTAGTGTAGCTAATGTCAGGGGAAACAAGACTGTTCTTTTCTGTTTCCACAATGCATTGAGGAATCTAAATCTAGAATATGATCCCCATTCAAGAAAGTTGTGGAAGGAATAACAACAAATGCAATTATAGAGGCTTTTCACTTTGTACTTAAATATTGCTTCTGAAGCTGCTTTCTGAACATATGCATTATATTAGGTGTGACTATAGGGGATTTTTCTTTTTAATATTCAAAAGATTATTGTGCAGAAAAAATGGCTGCACCTCTGCCTATACTTGTATCATTGCTGTACCTATGGAAGTTCTGCAAAACCCTGTTTACCAAAGGTTGTTCCATAGCCATGATCTGGTCCTAGGATTCAACTCGCCTTCATGTTTTCTAGCCAGCACCTGTTCTGAGGTCTCTTAGCACCCAGAGGGATTAAGAACCATTTTCCCTCAGGCATTCACTAGCCTGACGAGAGAGCTGACCCAGGTCTTCTGGTATCAGTGAGATGCTGCCATCAGGCAATACACAGTGTACCTCAGAGAAAGGACAACACTCAGTAGGGAAAGGCCCCATTTAGGACTTCACCATGTCCTTCATGGCCAGGGTGTGGAGAACAGGGGAACACTCTGAGAGATGGAGAAAAAAACATTGAGAAGATGAAGGGAAAAGAGGTGGGAATCAATTTTCAGAAGTCTTAAGACTGACCGTTGCTTCGAGGCACATTTGGGAGAGGGGGCTGTTCTGTCTAATGTGATATGAGAACATGGAAACTCAGCATCTATGCATGTGTGGAAATGTATTAAACAAAAAAAAGACATGAGGTAAGACTCATTATCCCTTGAGAGATCAAAGGCAATAAATGAATAACTCACACCTTTAGTTTAAATAACTTACTCCTCAAATACTCTGTATGCCCAAGGAGTAAATCTGCAGAACACTTTGGGTTATGAATAGTAAACAATGACTGGATATATGAAACTAGGAAAACGTAGGCTTAACCGGATATACAGCACCCCTTCTTGAGTGGGCCAGTTTTTACATAGTTCAGTAGTAGTATGGGGCCTTAGTATATTTCTACTGATAATCAGTTGTAAATCACCTTATTATTTTTATAATTAAACAGTTGTTTTGAAAAGTAGATTAAAGTATTTCAAGTAAAACACAGTAATATAAAATTAAGAATGTTTCTTAATTTTACATTAGATATTTGCTAAGGCAATTTTTTAAAAACATCCAAATTTTTAATGGCCTAGCATTAGTTTATTTCACCTATAATATCTTAGCTATATAAATACACAAATTTGAAAGTATATTTTGGTAGGGTGCTATATGACTAAAAAAATTTTTAAATTAAACATATAACTCAGCCAACAATAAAACGTGTGTCTTCCTTACCTGAAATCTTCATTTTTGCTTAGTTTATTTTTTCTATCTTGAGTTGATATTCTGTTTAAGAACAAAGTCTTTCACTGTGAAAATGTGCTAAAATTTAGAATGGTGTTATTTCTCCAAAGCTACAAGAATGATTTCTTTCCAACCAATATGTTCTAAATTTCAGGAAGGAAATTGACAGAACTTTCATAGAACCAAAGACTGACAGAAACAAAGTAAATAATGATGAAACTGAGCAATAGATCACCCAGAAGGAGTGTCCCCTGCCAAAACGAATTGGCATTTCACCCTCTTGAGAAACAAATGGACACTCTGTCTCCACAGAAGGCCAGGGTCCATGTGTCAGCATCACTTACTTTTTTATCCTTTCGCCTAAGGAAGCCGCTTCATCTAGGATGTTCTGGACACTGATGCATACCTCCTGGATGGCATAGATTTTATTTATAAACCCTTTCTTTTCACTGTCCTAAAATATAATAAAGAGAGAAGTTCTGTATGAGAAATGGTATTCTTCAGTGCTTGTATTCTTTGCATTGTTCCTGTCTTACATTTTTAAACTTAAACCCTATGTCTCTTACATACAAGAAGCCTGTGAGAATTTCAGGATGTAAAGGGAGGGAAAGGAGGATGAGTAGCCATATTGTAGACCTGTGCTAGTATAAAGGTAGCTGTGAAGCAGGGCACTCAGACTCTGTTGCTGGTGCCTGATGAACAGAAAAACGTCAGCCAAGGGAAAGAAGGTATAAAGATGTAAGAGAGGTCATGTCACAGAATGACCACAACCAGGATATGCGCTGACCCTGGGCCCACCATGGCTCACTATTTAGTAGACCTTGTTTTTTGACCCCACTACCCCCACACCTGAGTTTGGTTTTAGCTTCAGATATTTCATCAGCAGAAACTGCTGGGTACAAACTAGAGGACCTGTTAGGAATGAAAACTGCAAACAAAAATGACAAGGTTGCCCAGTCAGTGTGGTTCAGTGGATGAGCATCAGCCTTTGAACCAGGAGTTTCTGGTTGATTCCCAGTCAGGGCACATACCCAGGTGCATCCCCACTGTGGGCAGTCCAGGAGGCAGCCAATCAATGATTGTCTCATCATTGATGTTTCTCTCTCTCCCTCCCCCTTCTTTGAAGTAATATATCCCCCACACACACACACTCATGTCCTCACCTCACTGGTGTCTGTATCCATTGGTTGGGCTTATATGCATGCATACAAGTCCTTTGGTTGATCTCTCCCCCTTCCCACCATCCTCCCCTGCCTTCCCTCTCAGGTTTGACAGTTTGATCAATGTTTTTCTGTCTCTGGATATGTTGTTGTCCATCAGTTTATGTTCATTATATTCCACAAATGAGTGAGATCATGTGAAATTTACCTTTCTCTGACTGGCTTATTTGACTTAGCAAAATGCTCTCTAGTTCCATCCATGTTGTTGCAAATGGTAAAAATTCTATCTTTTTTAACACAGCATAATACTCTATTGTATAGATGTACCACAGTTTTTTAATCCACTCATCTGCTGATAGGCACTCAGGCTGTTTCCAAATCTTAGCTATTGTAAATTGTGCTGCTATGAAGGTAGGGGTGCATATATCTTTAGATTGGTTAAATGACAAGATCAATTAAAATCCACTAAGTGGTCACTTCCTAGGATAGTACCAAAGACAGATGAGATATACAATAAGCCTGCCCCCTCTTAAAAATAATAGCCATGGGCTTCATACAGTAGCTTTTGCTACAATGGGGTTCTAACTAAACTTTTTTCCTTTTTTTGTATTTAGTTCTTCATTTTAAAACTTGTGCTGGATTTAAGCAAACTGGTGTGCTCCAGGGAACGGGTGGATGAGGATTGAGCAGAGAGCACCCAGAGAGTGGTGTGAGCCTGGGGGAGGTGTGTACATTTTGTAATTTTAGACCCAGAGGAAGAAATAGTGGTGGCCTTTCACGATTGAAAATTCTGCTTAGTAGCCTGGCATCACAGGCACTCGCTGGGCTGTATGGTGGAGACCATCCAACCCTGATTCCATGACTCCATTCCTCCATGCCAGCTTGAAGAGCTCTGAAATGTAGCTCCAGTTTCATTCCTTTAACTTCTTTTGAACGCTTGCACACTGTGCCAGAACACTTGAGACCTCATGTGGCAGGCAGTGCTTGCTGAAAGCCGCCAGGAAGCTAGAATAATAATGTCGTCATGTTGCACATTTACATACTGACTTTCATTTCAGAGGAGTCTCTGAAGCATTTTGCACTGTGAACACTTGGCTGAGGCTGGCATCCTGCCACCTTCAAAGCCAAGGACAAGTGACTGACAGGTGTGTATGCAGCCTCCAGGGACAACAGGGTCCAGTGGGACTGAAGACATGGGGACCAGTTTTATAACATGATCTTTCAATACCAGTTACTTAGAGCCTTTGTTTTTAGTTTAATTCCCATGGGAGATATTGCCTACATTATTCACCTTGCTTATGCCACAATGGACTGTCAGACAATGAGGTAGATGAGGTGCATTAGGCTCAAAGTATGAGAAAAATTAAGTACTCTCAGAGTCCTCACTTTCTTCGTCTTTTACTTGTCATTACAGACATGAGTGAATCAATTTCTTGTCTTTTTTCCCTCCTTCATAATAAAAATAAATGTGTAATTGCACATATGCAATTTTACACTTTAGAATAAAATGGATAACCAGTGGCTCCTTTTAGTTTCTTTCATAATTACAAAATTTATGTGCTCTAATCATCTTCATGGCCTTCAGTGTCCTCAGGTACTGGCTAAGTTCATTTATGTCTATGAAATAAAGTACTCTAATAAATACTATTCTACATACAGAATAAATCAAGCTGAAATTGAAGCATGTTGATTATACAGTGAAAGCTCATTGAGAAAAATGTCTTATTTGAAATTATGATGAAAAATATTTCCTTAATAGTAAAATATATAAAATATTTAGACATAACCTTAATACATGTGCAGATTTTATATAAAAATAGAAGTACTGTGTTTCTTCATCAGGACAGTGAATATTTTAAAAATGTGGGTGTTTGTTTGTTTTTTTCAGTTGAATGTACAGGTTTAATGCAATATTTTGCAAACCCCAATGTGTCTGGAGTGTCCTCAAAATATTTGCAATATTTTGCAAATCCCAATGTGTCCTCATTTATTCTTCTAAACAGATTTTGGATACACTTTATCATATTCTGAAATGAGAATATGATAAAGTGTATCCAAAATCTGTTTAGAAGAATGAGGATAACCAAGAAATTTTTGAAACAGAAATAATGAGAAGGCATTTATTGTACTATATCTTTAAATATTTAAGTATGGAAGATGAGCACTGAAGGAGAGATTGGTGTATGATTAAAGCACAAGAAATCCATCATAAAGAAGGAAATATTATGTTATTGGTAATAGTGTTAACTATTTGGGAAAAATTATGTTGATTCCTACCTTAATAGAGCCTCAAATCTATTTGAGATAGCCCAAAATCCACCTTAGCATCCACCTAAATAGATAGCCCAATGTATTCTAGGTTAATTAAAAATTGAAACATTAGGTGACTTAAAAAAACAGAAGAAAGTATAGGTAAATTATTTACTGACCTAGGGATGAGAAACAACTCTCTAAGCATATAAGCAGTAAAGGAAATCAACAAGGAAAATAACTGACAGCAAAAGTTTCATAAAATTAAAAACATTATGTCTAAGATCATAAATGTAAAAGGCTAAGGGGGGGGGGGGAAATTAGCAACAAATATGACATCAAGGAATGGGATTTCTACTATATTCAATTAGGACCTGAAAAAAACACTGCAATTTTGTTTATAATAATAAAGTAAAAATCACTAAGATGATACATACAATTGATAGGCTAATATGAAATCACAAAATATTGTTTAAAGAGAATATTTAAGGAAAACAACCCATATAAATAAGATGTGTTAATTAAGGCATCTCAAAGATTATATTTCACATATACTTTAAAATCTAAAGTGCTGATGTATAATTAATGGCTCAAGAGTTTTTTAAATCTGTTCATTCTTTGTTTCTTCTGCACTTTCACCCCACTCCCAGCTCCTCACTCCTGCCACCCAAACCCAAAATAAGATAGTTGTAATGTTGGCTAAGTTTTGAAAAGCAAATGCTTTGGGATAGAATTTTTATTTCAAAATCTCTTTCATCAAATTCTATATTCCTCCACTGTGGTCTCCAACCAATGAAGTAATTACTCTTTATATTCGGTATATGACCCAAAACTGCGATGGGTAATGGAATTGTTCTGTGTTGCATTCCAATATTTCATACTTTTTTCACTAATGTTCAATACTTTATTAGTATAGAATAAATTGGTACATTTCTTTTATTGTCATTTTTGCTTTCCTTTATAAACCAGCTTGGATGAAAGAAATATCATAGGGTAGTTAATCATCCAGAGGCCTGGTAGTGACACTAGTTGTTTAAAAAAAAACAAAAAACAAAAAAACAACATTATTTAGGTTTCTTTTGAAGATGTAAAAAAAAACTACCCATAAAAAAGAGCTATAACTATAAATCTGAGAACACTGAGATTTATATTGTACAACTTTTTATAATGATTCTATATAATTTTTAAAATCTTATATTTTAAATAGTCTATAAAACATCAATAACTGCAACTTGAAATACAAAGATTTCTTAACAGTCATCTATTTTACTATCACATATCACAACAGATAGTTGCTATATTTTTCCCAAGAAGTATCTTCTTCCTGACTTTGCAATATTTAGGGAAATCTAAAGACCTAAAGAATCAATAGGAGAGTTTTACGTATCTGGAGAATCCTATTCATTGATCTCAGTCCAAATGACAAGTGCCCCCATTCACCAGTTCTGTTCCAAATGGGAATAATATAGGTGTTGGGATGTGTTTTGATGGGGTGGGCTCCTCATGCAACCTACAATGGTAATTAATGCTACGTAGGGCCTGCCAAAGTGGTCACTGTCAGCCCTATTGACATTATAGAAAATCTGTTGAACACCTGTGCTATATCAGTCACAGCAAGTATACAGAAAGTTTGCTTGAGTTATTAATGTTATAAAATTGTTATTTCACTTTCTAGGGTGAGATTGTCTTAAGAGTGTGCAAGGTTTGGGAGGGGGGCAGAAAGGGGACCAGGGACAGTTGTTAAATCTTACATCAGAACTAGCTAATGTGGAGCTCTCCCAGCAAACCAGGGTGTATGTTCACCTTACTTATTTCCTAAATGAAACAACTAGTGTCACTACCAGGCCTCTGGATGACTTGCCACCCCAAAGAGCTAATCTTGATCATAATTTTGCTTTTCCTTTCAAGTCTACTTGCTAGGTAACTTCTGGCAAAAGGTAAGTGACAAGATTGATATTTGCTATGAG